AAGGTCGATACAACCTTACTTACAACCACAGATCGTTTCCAAGACAATCCAAAGAAATCAGAATGTATGTACGTGCAAGAAATATAAGAATAATTAAGGAGCATCTAATTCATAGACAAATTGCGCCATCAAAATTCAGTCTAATAAAAAAGAGAACAGTCTAGTTTTTCCGTATAAAATTCCCATATGAATGATTTCAACAAAGACAGATTCTATTTGCATTAAAAAAAAAATTGTCTAGTTTATGGTACTGTAATTTTTAATTACCTTAATTAAATAGTGTCTAATTTAGTGCTCCCATTAAAAAAAAAAAGTGCTTATTGCAATAAGCACATAGCTTGAATTTACTGTTTTTCGATCTATATGCACTTTTTTCTTCCAAATAAGATGTGAAATCACTTCTTGGCCTATATGGGCACACACCCTGTATATTTCTGTAACCAACGATTTTTCCTAATGAATCATTCAAAGACAATTTTATTTTTTAATTACCAATCGATATCAATTCATTTTCCTAACAACCACGAAAATAATTTCACTCACCGGCCCCACTAGGCATTCCTTAAAAAATAATTGTTATTAATAATATTAAAACAATATTTATATATTCTGTTATCACAGGCATTGGCGACAGAACTGGACAACCTTCAAGCTTCAAAGAGGGCAAACGCCAAATATTCAACAGAAAGTTCAGCAACCTCTTCCAAGTAAGTTTGTCAAATCTCCTAGCGTTTGAGTGACAATAATGTTGAACTTAATCATAAATATTTAAAAAATCAAACTTTTACAGAAATTTTTTTTATCTCAATGAATGGTCATTCATTTTTCAATCTAACTTATTGTTTTTAATTAAAAAAAAAAAGCATTTTGTAAAAGATGAACAGGCGAAATATACATTTAAAAAAGAGTTTTATAGAAAAGAACTTCCCATCTTAACTTTCCTGAATTTCACTTAACACTATAAGGCGATTTTATGGCCTATTTTAGAAAAGTCCATTCCATCCGAAATATGAGTTTTAATATTTTTCTTATACTATTTTTTTTCATATTTAAAAATTATTTAGTAACTAGTAATGTGTTTCAAATTCGACCCCAAAAAACCGGATGTAGGAATGAGACATTCCTTAGACTCCGGATACAAGGACAGAAGCGAAAGATGGACAAGATCCTAGGAAAGAGTGGGAGAACTTTGTCGGTAGTCCAGTTTTGGTAAATGTCAGCTGGCAGGAGGCCAAGGAGCATCGGCTGTCCATGGCGGGTCTCAGTTCAAAATGTCGGCCATGCTAGCCTCCATTTCCTGTAGAATGATTAATACTTTTGAAGTATTTGAAAATAATTGCAAGATGAAAGTCAAAATAAAGAATTAAATATTAATAATACAATTACAAAAGCTGCCTTTTTATGACCAGTTGTCAATCCCACAACAGTTAATTAAGGGCTGTTTTATTATTTTTTGTTTTGAACTAAGGCATACATTTTGATAAATTCATTTAATATCCATCTTCATAATTTTCATGAATAGAGAATCAGAACTCAGTCATTATTATTTTATTGCAAAAACCGACATGTCGACGACCCACACGTGGAAACGCTCGATTCTCTTTGCATAAGTTTTCCATCTGCAATTGCAGTATTTTTTTTTTTTTTCTAAACAGATATAAATAAAAATACTATACTTATCAACTAGAAGATATAAATCAATGAAATAAAACAAACCTGATCTTCTTTTGGTTTAGTAACCTACGGTTTCATCATACATCATTTATTAATGACAAATTGAAATGGATTTGATTAAGTGAATACATTCACATCAGCTGGAGGTTCTTAATTAGAGAAAAATGCTTAAATTTTGTGCATTGATTTAATTTTTATCGATAAAGAATATGATGTTAACACCTTGTAGTCTTCTCAATGACTTCATGGCATTAATCCCCCGCCCTCTTCCCCTGACCCAGAAAAAAAAATCATATAGTCTAAAAGGTAAAGACAAAAAGCAGCTAATATTGAATATTTTATGTAATATATTTACACATTTTTGTTGCGTACTTTATAAAAGGCTTCGATTGAGTTTTAGTGGTGAATTTAATCCTGAAAAATTATATCAGGACCTTGAGTGTGTGTGTGTGTATATGCATATACTTTAAATAGAAATATTTTTTTTATCAATGTTTATTTTGAGAGGCAACATTCCTCTTTTTTCTCCATGGGCTGGCTGGCCACTAAGTTATAAAGTTTTGGCCTGAAAAACCAGAGGCCTGATAGAACATTTTACCTTTTATAATTTATTATATTTTATGTTTATAATTTATCATTTGATTAATTCATATTTAAATAAAACGTCTGTGAAGTAAGGTCAGTATAGCTTCCTCACCGCTTTCATTGGCTAAAAATATCTATCTAAAGATCTAAAGTTTTTTTCACAATTTCTTAACTATTTTCCTCAATCCCTCCAAGTTTGGGTCAAATTGAACAAGCCTTATTGATACTATAGGCATGTCAAATAATACATTTCCTGATCTGAAAGTGGAAGTATGTTTTTTTGGAGTAGTGGCTAAAATTTGATAAAATTCATACATCCTTGATTAACTGTTTACCAATCCCTCTTCCCTCCAAATTTTAGAGATATAGACCTATAAATATAGATACAGAAAAAAAAGTTTGCGCATATATAAGAGAAAGTAGAGGACAGATTTCAATAAAATTTATGCTTTATTATTTTATTTTTTTATTGACAGCTCCTTTTTTTCTAACTTTGAACCAAATCGAACGAGCCGTTTTTGAAATATTAGCATATCTAAAAAAATACGTTTGTGCGTACGTAAGCTGAAGTCCCGGATGGAAGTTGATGAAATTGATAAGGAGCAATTTAGACAACAACCCGCACAATCCCTAAAAATTTCATGAAAATCAAATAAACGGTAGTAGGTGATATGCCTGTTGCATCGATTTGACTACAGACAGACTCCGTTTCAAATTTGATCCTTGATGTCTGACACGTAAAACGCGACTGGAAATTTTCAATTCTGATCAAAAAATTTTTTTTAAACTCTCGCACGAATACATTGCTTTCCTATCTTCAGTAGTGAGGAAGCAAACAAATTATTATAATAAAAAATTTAGTGCGCCCAACACACGACTTTCACTTATTCCTCAATTTTGAATAGAAATTATTTTCTGACAATGATGGGCTTTTATGAAATTTTTGAAATGCCATTAAGACCATTAAAATAACAAAAACTGTATTTATTATTTCGGAGATAGGCAATAAAAACCTTGTTTCTCCATCTGTTTTTGTAAACCACATAGCTCCAGTCTCTGAGTTATATGTGCCTTTCAGTTGGAAGAATGACTAAGTCCAATTTCAACATTTTTGAATAATGTCATTTTAGTGATATTTCTGGTTGAAAAATATATAATATCTGTACAGACAGTGAGTAAGTTGAATTCAGAGGTGATTGCAGTGTTGAAATATAGAACTGTGAATAAAGGTATGAATTTTCCCTACATGAAATATCACTAAAATTAATAATAAAGTATTGTGAAATTGGAGTTAGTCATTCTGTCAACAGAAAGGCTAATATATGCCTAGAGAGATTTGAAAGTACATTTATATATTTAACCTATAAATGATTATGGATAGTACGACTATTAGTTATTAAACTTATTTTTCATTGTAAAGTTTACAAAAAGAAATTGTGAGATGTTCATTGCCTGACATCATGGGTGCCCATCCTCCCTCCTCCTCAAGGCCGATGGCGCTTAAACCTCCTCCCCACCCCCTCCAAGATATTTTATTCCTATCTTCTTCTTAAAATCAGTTCAAACGAAAGTTGAATTTGAATATTCGTAGATTATATGCCATTGCACATCCTGTGGTCTTTTCCATGATTCGACTTGTCTTTTGATTAAAACTTTTCATTTTGAAAATTCATAACCACGTCATATATCTCATTTAATTTCCTTAAAAACATGTGATTTACATAAACTAATATTAGTTTTTTGAAATTATTATTTATATTTTCTTCGTCATTCTCCGTTACCTTCTACAAATTGATTTATTACATATCACTTTTTCTAAAATACTCCGCTTTCCAACGATATATTATACGTATTCCTTCTGATTCTTATTTCTGGAAATGCATTTTCAACCTGGATAAGCATTTTTCTTTTTTTCTTCTGTTTCCAATTATCATATTCTTTCAAACTTCATATTTAGCCATTTTTATAGTAGCTGTCAATAAAAGAGAGTTCATTTTTTAAAATTATATTGGGCATTTAATCAATGTAAAGTGACATCAATGGTGATAAGACCTAAATGATATTAAAGACCACTTAATTATACAATGGTACACCGAGTTTAATCAAAATCGTTGGGGTCTTTTTTGTGAAAATTGTAAAAATGTTTTTCACCGTTGATATAAAATGCCAATTCAGGTTACCCGATTTTGACGAATAAGTTGCTGTAACATCTGGGGTATATACATACTTTAAATGCACAACTTCACTTTCATACGACTTTTCGTTATTGAGTTAGACTCATCACATACAGATACACACACAAAGACCATTTTGCGGGACTTGGTTATTTGGACGCAGAAGCCCTCAAAACATGTATTTCCATTGAAAACACACATTCGAAAATTTTCATGATAGCAATACTGTCCCTTACCATATATTTCATGTATAGGTAAGTGTAAGTAAAAATATAGCAAACCCTTTTTTTTCAGCTTATTTTGTATCCAATAGCTAAATGTATTTTAATAAGTATTTGAATATGTTTCAGAGATATTGCGGAAATCATTCTGGAACTTCCATCATCACCTGAACAGCTAGCTAAGAACTACGATCTCAAATCACTTAATAAGTGAGCAATTATACAATAACTGATTTACAAAAAGACACTATACGTCTTATTTGAAAATTTAGTTTACATTACAATAATCAATTTCATTAAACATAAAAAAAAAAATTATTCATATTTTTTTCAATAGGTATGTCAACTACTTCATCATATCAAGTGATAATTTAACAGATTCAAGTGAAGAGGGTTTAGCTTATCATCCAAGCAGGCTTATGGGAATCGATGATATTTTGAATGCTGTAAGTTTTAATTACAATAAATAAAACATTTATTTATTATTTGATCAAAATTTGTACTTTCGTGAGTGTATTTATTAATTTAAATTGGATATATCTATAAGCTACCTCATGTTATATTGTGGACACTTCAAAAAGCAAATTAATAAAAACAATTTAATATGATTCCAGGATTCATTAGTGGATCTCATTTCTGGACTAGGCGCTGAGCATGAAAAACTGCTCCTATCTGTACCTGCTACAGCACTGAAATTCAATCTAAAAGATCCCAAGGACAATATGCCAAGAGCCAAAGTTACTGGCCCACCTGAATCTATTTCTCAAAAAGAGGTCAAACATTTATTATTACAATATTATAAATTTACATTAAAAAATTAAAATCATTCTATTATTATATTTTTTTCTTCCTGATAATAACTTTCTAGATAAAGAATTTTTCATCGAAGCATCATGATACAGTGATATACTGCATTTAAGATACTTAAAATATATTTTTAAAAAAATTTTAAATGAACTAAATAAATATTTATAAAATATGTATTTTCTTTTGAATCATTATTCAGTATACATTTAACTTTAATATATGACTCAAAATATTATAAATTAGGTTTACTATTTTTGATCAAATTTATAAATTCATGATTTTTATATAGAAGGTTATGATCAGTAGTAGGTATAACAAGTCATTGAGTCATGCTTATAATAAATAAAGAGAATAAAGTTGTAGTTATATAGAAATTATTACAATTTAAAAAAATTAAAGGCAAATTAGGACATGATCATTTAAACTCTGCCACGAAGGTGAATTCACTTATGACCTTATCCCTTTTATAAATTTGTCTAGGTAGTTTGTTCCATAATTATTTAGTTTGACTTGTATTAAATAAATTAAAATAAAGTTTCATAGCTTTTATATAAACATTGTGGTTTTTAAAGTGTTAAACTAAAAAAACAAGGTTTAGAAGTCCGAGTAAATAAGCAATAAAAGTTTACTATATTATTTTTAAACTGTGCTATTAATATGTATTTTATTATAGTTATGCTCTCTTATTGAAAATGGCTTATGGACTCTAGAGCGTGAAGAAGATTTAACAGCTCCTTATGCTTACTCCAGTACTACATGGTTGGCATTTGATGATTCTGTCAGTGCAGCTATAAAGGTATTTCAAGAATCGCTAATTTTTTTCATTACGGTAAATATGTTCATAACTGTAAATGTAATTAAGAAATCAGTTGAGGGTATGGTAATGAAGAAAAACACTATACACATATAACTTATTTTACATTTTGCCAATATTTGGGTCTATTTTGTAGGTTTTCATCAGTGTGACTCTTTCATAGTATAAGAAAAGTGAAAGAGACTTATTCCTGAACTATTGCAATTTATTTAAATAATATAGAAAGTTAACAATTATATCTCATGCATATCTACATAAATATATTGATTATTAACTTCCTTTCCTACTTCCTCGATGGCACTACAACCCTCAAAGAGTCAGGGCCCCCTGCAACTTAGTCTGTTAATCTTCCCTGTCCTGTGTGGCTACTTTCCAATTGCTGAGGTTTAAGAGGGTCCACGCATCGGCTGCCACACCATCTCAACCGCCCAATACTGATGAATTTTACAACATCAGCTTCACCATAAAGCTCTCAGATTTTCACATTAGTGTGCTGCCTCTATTCACCGTTAACGCCTTCTGCTCTAAAGATCCTTCTCAGGATTCATCTCTCAAAGCAGAGGAGTGCTTGCTCCTTGGCTTGCTGAAGTATATTAGAACTGGCCTGATTACCGGATCTAATATGGGTAAAGTTTAGTAGTGAGAGTTCAGCTGCAGAAGTATTTTATCATTCCAAAGTAGCTTCTATTAGCAGCTAAAATTGACCTTTGGATTTCTGGCTTTATGACATTGTCGAAACTATTTAATAATATGAGTAGGTTAGAATGATAGTAGAGTAAGTCAATTTTACTTTTTGTTCAAAAAGTAAAGTAAAGTTTTTAAGGAACCACATATTTATGGGATTATGAATGTTAGTCCGGAAAAAACCATATTTTTGTGGAATTTTAATTGGGGAGAACTTACAAAGCAAGTAACTAGAGATAAAACTAAACTATCATCTTTATAATTTTACAATAATTTGCAATGTTTCAACCCTTTAATGCCAATGGACTCATACACAAGTTGAGAGTCAATCTAGCCTAGGCAATGGTGGACTCATATATGAGTTGAGACGGAATGTGACACAGGCGAAGGTGGACTCATATACGAGTCGAGAGCCTCTCGTGCCCTTTCTCTTTAAATTCTATTTTCAAACTATCTCATGATATTTCTATCAATTTCATAAAAAGTACTTTTAAATACATGAAAACAAGTTTAGAATGATTCCCTAAAGAAAAAGGTTAAAGTGGTGAGTAGAGGTGATGTAAAATATTCTGTCACAGGGCTATGGAGAACTGTCAGCTAATGCCGTTCCTCCCTTCCCACTCATCATTGCTAAACGGTTTAGAAAAGAAGAACAAATATTTGTTAGCATGGGGGATGCCACCATCTTCCTTCAGGGGAATGGGCACATCCTGAGCTTTAAGAGCAAACAGCATAATTAACTAACACTTCAACAATTGATATTATAACTCTCTAATATATTATAAATTTATTTCCCTATGATATTTTATATTTATTGAAAAAGAAAAGAAATTACAACTATAATTAGGAAATTTTTAAATTAATACAACATACATTGTAAAGTTATATTATATTTTTTGAATTCCTAAGTAGTCTATAGAAATATTTTTGATTGTTCATATTTTCAATTTCGAATAAAATATAAAATATTTTCTATCCTTTTTCAAATTCCCCTATTTTTTTTTTTTTTTTTTATTTCATATAAGATACTTTTATCATGTCCCTGAAAAATTTAATAGGAATTTTTTTTTCCTACTAAATTTTTAAACTCTTATATATTTTTTTTTCTTTTTTACTATAATATTATGACATATATATATTAATATATACATTTTCTAGGCCAAATACATTTTGCTCAGAGGATTAGCTGGTATAGCAGTAACAAAGTCAGAAGCTGACGATTGGGGTCATGCTTGTGCTTCTCGGCCAATTCTTGATACCATCTATAGTACCTTTACCAATCTAGTGAGGAAACCTCGTGCTGCCACACTTCTTTCATTGCAAGACCAAATACATAACTCAATATCTCCTTTTGCTGGTACAGTCAAATTCCATAGAAATCTGAATTGATATTTAGTTGTTTTTCAGTTTGACTACAAATTTTAAACTTTGCAGGAGACATTCAGTTATCTCCTTACAGGATAGTTCGTGTTGTTGATCGAGCTGGTTCAGTTCATGTTGTAAGAAAAGAGGCTAAAACTGAATTCCAATGTTCAAGACAAGGATACTTTACACACCCCTCAGGATGTAATAGGTAATTTTTCCCAAATATAAAATTGTAAGCATAAAAATGTATTTTTATTTATATTTATTTGCTTTGCAGATTTTATCGTTGTGTGAAATTCAATCAGTATTCATCAGATTTTACTGTATTTGAATATGACTGTCCTGCTGGACTTGCATTTGATGAGCGTTATGAAGTATGTGTTTGGCCTGGTTCATTGCCAGATGCATCAGCTTGCAAAGGTACATTATGTTTTCACTTTAATATTAAAAAATGTATTTAGTCTTTAAAACTTTTCAAAGTAATGAATGATGATTGATTATATTGACATGATCAAAATAATTTTTTATTTGGGGATTAGCCAAAATAATATAATAAATTTAAAATTATTAATTTTAAATATTGTTCAAATCTTAACCCTGAATTTTAAACAAATTATTATCATTTACATATTATCATTGGTGCCATTGAGAAATATATTATATCAAGGCCGGCTATAGGAAAGGCTTGGTCCTCATTATTGTTTATTTACCAATAAAAAGTTGATAAATAAAACCTGCAAAATGTGACGTTTATCAAAATTTATTTAGCTACTATTTGAGCTTCAGTCACTTCTTGCAACAAGGATGTAAAATATGATTATAGGTCAGTTGAAATAGATATAATCAACAAAATAATTACTATTTTTACAAATATAGTAGAAAACAGTAACTCTAAATTAAAAAGAGTTAACATTACCTCTTCATTGTGAAATTAAGAATGAAAGCTTTCAACAAATTTGCGATGTTGGAAAATTGAAAAAAAATTGACAAATTTAATATTTATTATCAAATTTGGAAGTTATTAACTATGTTAAAATTATTTATTTAAATTTTGTTTGTAAATAAAAATATTTTAATTATTCAAAATTTAGAGTTGAATAGAATAGAAAAAAGCAATATTATTTAAATCCTGCAACATTAATGCAAATCCTTTAAAAAATAACAAAGGTGAACAGAAAAATAAAAATTATTTTTTCACAAAAGACATAATGTTGTAAATAAATTAAAAATAAAATAACTGACTTATAAATAGAGTTACCACACTGTAAAAGCAAATAAAAAATCATGAAATGATATATTCACTATTAAAACTTGAAATATAAACATTTACTAGTTAAAATGACCATAAAATATATGATGTGATGTTGCCTTTTAAACTATAATTGATTTGTAACAGTTAGTGAAAACTGAATTCAACATAACTAACACTCAAGAATTATTTGATGCAGTTTTTAAGTTTATGACAACTAACAAATGTTTTTTATAATCTAGTGATATCAAAAGAGCATTTATATTGATGGATTTTAGTTTTATTAAGTTGTTAATGACATAAATTATGTTTTTGATATAAATTGTATTCGTTCTAGGTTCTAGTGAAATTGCTCCAGTACCTCGATCTCGATACGCCTGTTCATCTCAAGGATATTTCGCTGATCCTGAAAATTGCCGATGGTTCTTTGCTTGTCTGGATCACCATGGAGATGGAACAGCACCAACAGCCTATGAATTCAGATGTCCTTTTGGCCTTGTGTTTAATGAAAAAACACTGACATGTGATTGGCCCTGGTCTGTTCCTGGATGTGGAGGTGGATCAGGATCAGTTATTCATACTTCATCTATTTATCCTGGTGACATATTAGAAGGAAGGTTGAGACCTGCATACGCACAGGTTTCAGATTTACATGTGTCTGGGGGAAGAATTGCAGATGTTGATGGTGGTCTTGTTCTTGGTAAGTCAGCAGTTTATAACAAGCAGTTATTGTAGCAGTTGTGTGTCTTTAAATGAATATTATCTATGTTAATAGCTATTAAACTATAATTTTAATAAGAAAAATTATCTATTTTTTTTCATATTTGGATTTATAATCAATAAACTTTAAAAGGTATTTCGTTCATATTTAAAATAATGCTACCATGGATAAGGATGATCAGATACATTCCCTATTACTAATAAATTCTCAAGTCTAGAGATGTTCTGAAAAATACATTTATGGTAAAAAAAAAGTATACAGTCCCATGAGTAGAGAGATATATTTAAAAGGGTGATAGTAGGCATCAAAATAAAAAAAAAGTTCTTATAAGCAATTACCCAATTTCCAGCAGAAAAGTAGGAAATTCAAGATTTGTATTTTTAAGTGAGCCACATTTTTTGTTGAACAGGAAGCAATAAAAGATATATATATTTAACTTAAGTAATTAACAATTGTTCCACAGTAAACTAGAAAACATCTGCCAAGTAAGGTCAGTATAACTTCCTCATCATTTGCATTGGCTAAAAATATCTATGTTACAAGGTCTAAAATTTTTCGCATGAGAATAAAATCTTTGGGAGTAGCCGTTTTCAGAAATTCAGTAATCCCTCAACATATACCGGTTTGATATCCATGAGTTTTATTCATCATCGAATACTAAAATGCAAAAAAGTCCGGCATATGCAGATTGCATATGTGATGACTCGAGATTAAAAAAAAAAATCGAGTGCGTACTGAACATGAATATCACTACTGTTAGTGCAAAAAGCTAAATGTAAACATTGAATGTTATACAGGAAAGCATAAAAACTAATTGGTTCTTTATGATTTATTATTATAATTTCATAATTTATTGCACTCAGATATTTTTTGTAGCTCTTGAGGTCTACAATCAACCCTATAAAAATGTATCTCTACTTACAGGACATCCTGTTTATACATGATTGCATTCTATATATTTTTTTGCCTCTAAGAATTAAAGTATATTGCATTTGATATAAGTGGATATTAAAGCTCAAAATAGGATTAAGCGTAATTTAACATGTTAATTATGTAAAAAAATATTATCATTTTTTTTCTCTTATATATAATACCAGTCATGGTATCTAAAATAAAAACTTTATCTATTTATAAAATTTATTTATAGTGAAATTAATCTGTAGATATTTTGGATATCAGTTATGTACAGTAATATTCCGATCTTAATGAAACCTCTTCCCAATGTTCAAAAACAAAGTTTCGTCACTGAGAGACATCCTAATCCCTCCCAATGGAGCTTTTCAAAATGTGCATTTATAACTAACCACAAAACCATTAATACATCAAACAACTTATTATTTTTTATTCTACTTCCATATTTCCATTTTAATACTATTTATAATTATATTATTATAATATCAGTATATTATTCCTAATTATATTAATATTACTCCTAATATTTTAATAGAAGATTTATTCTGGAGTATGAAATGGCAGAGCATTTTTTAATAAGATAATGTTATCTAGACCTCAAATCTTTCGAATACCTTTCGCTATTTTATAACTTTTAACATCCAAAACAAATTAATAGAGAGAAGGATAGTTGGATTGATTAGTCAAAATAAAAATGGCAAAAATAAATAATAATATTTATTATTACATTTGCCGATGTGGCAACCCGAAGTTCAGCCCTGATGAAGATCTGAACTTTGGGTCGAAATGTCGGCTAATGTTAAAATAAATATTATTATTTATTGTTGCCATTTTTATTTTGACTGATCACCACAACCATCCTTCTCTTCATTATTTATTACAGTCCACCATCAACCCACAAATAGAATATTAAATTTAAAATATAAAAATTATTACTTAAAAATCTACAATCAACTTTCAAGGAACACTTGAAAAATCACTACAATGTATACAAATAAACATAAACAAAACTGTATGACAAAACACATTTATTATGATTATATTTTATTGCACAGGTCGATAACTAATAATACATTTATTATTTTGATATTACCAATACTACCTTTTTCATGTTAATTATAAACTAAGTGTTACTGTTATTTTCCCAACTTGAAATATTTCATGCTCAAAAATATTACTGCAAGAACTTAATTAACTTAAGAGTTACTGTCCATAAAAATTAAAATTATTTTATTTCATTTTCAGGAACTAATCTCCTATCTGGAATAAGCACTTCTGGTCAAAGATACAGCAATGGCTATGGTTACGGACTTGCAAATCAAATTAATTCTGCTTTTGGAAACTCTAAATATGAGGATAATAGTGGAGCTTATATTCACGATCCTACAGGAGATACAGGTGGTGAATATATACATGAGGAAGGACCACAAGGACCACATGGTAAAGGATCCATTTACGCAGCTGGACGTGGATCATATGGCATTTCAAGTTCAGGTGCAACTGGAAATAGTGGACTTTATGTTTATGATTCTAGCGGAGATAGTGCTGGTCAATATGTTCATTCTGAAGGCTCACAGGGTACTGGATCATACAGTTCAACAGGAGCTTCTGGTGGATATTATGCAGGAGGCAAAATTTTAGTTTCTGGAGGTTCAGGATTAGATAATTCAGGAGCATACATTCATGATTCAAGAGGAGATACAGGAGGAGGTTATGTTCATCAAGAGGGCCCTGATGGATCAGGATCTAAGACTTATCTCCATTCAGGATCTTCAGGTGTACAATATGGTAATGCAGATGGTCATTATATCCATTCTGAAGGGTCACAGGGTACTGGATCATACAGCTCATCAGGAGCTCCAGGAGGATATTATACAGGTGACAAAGTTTTAGTTTCTGGAGGTTCAGGCATAGATAATTCTGGAGTTTATGTTCATGATTCTAGAGGAGATAATGTTGGTCAATATGTCCATTCTGGTGGCTCACAGGATACTGGATCATACAGCTCATCAGGAGTCTCAGGTGGGCATTATACCGGGGACAAAGTTTTAGTTTCCAGTGGTTCAGCAATAGATAATTCTGGAGGATACATTCATGATTCAAGAGGAGATACAGGGGGAGCTTATGTTCATCAAGAGGGACCTGATGGGCCAGGATCTAAGCCTTATCTTCATACAGGATCTTCAAGTGTACAATATGGTAATGCTGGTGGTGAATTGAATGCTTATGGACATGATTACAGAGGAGAAACTGGTGGAGGATATGTACAGCAAGTTGGTACAAGCGGCCCAAGTTCTGTTATTTATTCTGGTATCAAATCTTCAGGTTACTCAGGAGCACAACTCACTACTGACCTTCATCAATCTGGAGTCAATCAAGCTGTTTTCAGCTCCAAAATTCCTACTACATTAACATCTGGAGCATATTTTCATGATTCAAGAGGAGATACAGGAGGTGCTTATGTACATCAAGAAGGTTCATCTGGTTCTGGTTCTGTTCCGTATATTTATCAAGAAGGATCATTTAAAGACCAAAATCTTGTTAGTGGAGGTGTCAAAACAAACCAAGAATATTCTACTGGTTATATAGGAGTACAGCATCTTGGAACTGGAGGATTCGCTAGTGGTTCTTATGCTAGTAATTCTGGGCAATATATTCATGATTCTACTGGTGACAAAGGAGGTGATTACATACACCAAGAAGGTCCATCTGGACCAGGCTCTGTTCCTTATGTACATCAAGAAGGAGGAAATATAGAAAGTGGCTCAAGGGGTGGTTTGAATATTAAAACAGGCCAAAGTTACACAACAAGTTATATAGGACAAAACATTGTTGGTATTGGTGGATATACTGCTGGTTCTCACAGCACTACTTCAAACAATGGTCAGTATATTCATGATTCTAGGGGCGATAGTGGAGGAGAATATGTACACCAAGAAGGTCCAACATATGGCCAGGGACTATATGCTGGCAGATATTCTGGGCACTATATACATGATAATAGTGGTTCCTACATCCAAGGCAGCAGTGGATTCTATAATCAACCATATGTGCACCAAGAAGGACTCGCAGGAACATCACGTCCATTATACCAAGGCGTTAATATTTACAATAGCCAATATGCTGGACAATATGCTTCTAAGTATGCAACAGATCAAAAACATTTGTTTCATTACGGAAGCGCAAACATTGATGGAGCACATCTGTATCAGCCCGGAGAAGGAGTAATTCATACATATGACAATTCAAGACTTCATGTCCAGCCGCTGGGTTATAAGGGATCATTACTAAAACCAATTAGTATAGCTAAATTCCCTGGTGTTCCACTAAATCCAATTCAATATTCATCACCTGTCACAAATATCCATCCAATTTCAGTTACAACACCTAGTCCAGCAGTTTTAACAGAAATCAAATCTCATACAGTTCAACCTATTACAGTGACTGAAAAGCCACTTATTCCACTAAGCCCAGTTCAATATATAACTCCATTGAAAGGAGTAAAGACAAATGGTTTACAATCTTTATCATTAATAAAGGGCAGTCAAGAAATCAGCCATTCATATATTTCTCCGACTGTGGGTACTAAAACTATTTCATTTAATCCAGTACAATATCACCAAGAAACAAATGCAAATACTGGATTTTCAGGATATGAATACTCTAAACCGAAAATTACTTTCAGTTATCCAGAGCATGTAGTTAAACATCATTATGCAGCACAACCAACACCTACTTCTTATTTCACTGGATATTCTTACCATCCCTCAGTTCCTGTCCAGTCTGTAAATACTGTAATTAATCAGCCAGTAATTAAAACTAATGTTGCATCACCAGTTTTTGTAAGCAGTACTCCAAGACCATATTTAGTAAATTATAAAGAACCAGTAATAGATTCACATATTGTAAGGCCAGTGTCTGTTTCAAGCCCTCCAATTGTGCCTCTGAACCCAGTACAATATGGAACGAAAATTGAGACAATACAGGTTAGCACACCAGCTCCTCCGACACTGATATCTAGCCACTCATATAACCCAGTCATAAAAACACAAACAGTGCGTCCTATTATTGTTTCGAGCACTCCAGCTATACCTTTAAGCCCAATTCAATATGGAACTAAAGTTCAGACATTTGAGGCTAGCACACCAGCACCTCCTCAGATATCCAGTTATTCATACAACCCAGTCATAAAAACACAAACTGTTCATCCTGTTATCATCTCAAGCACACCTGCTGTACCACTAAACCCTGTCCAATATGGAATTAAAACAATAAGTAGTTCAGTTGGATACCATTACTCTAAACCAATTGTTGGTCTACCTTATCCTAAAAATGTATATAGTACCCAAGCCCCACCAGTCATCAGCTATACATACCAGAAACCAGTAGTTAAAACTCAGCCAATCCATCCAATTGTGAGTACACCTGCTCTCCCAGATGTTAGCATTTCACATGAAATTCCTCTTCAAAAAATCTCTATAAATAACCCACCTCAACCTACATTTGAATATTCATACAAACAACCAATTAAACATGTTTCTGTCAGCACCCCAGCTCCTCCAGTTGTGGGTTATTCTTATCAACCACCAGTTAAACCTGTAGTTCCCGTTGCTGTCAGTACACCTGCTCCTCCAGTAGTTAGCTATTCTATTACTCCACGACCAGTCATAGTTAGCAGCACACCTTCAGTTCCTCTAAACCCAGTTCAATATTTAAATCATGTGTCAATCAGTAACCCGGCTCCACCTACATTTGGATATTCTTACAAACAGCCTGTTAACCCAATAGTTTCTGTTCCTGTGAGTACTCCGTCACCTCCAGTTGTGAACTACTCTTATCAACAACCAATAAAGCCTGCAGTAATTGCAGTAAGCACTCCAGCCCCACCTGTAATAAGTTATTCTTATAAACAACCACTTAAGCCTGTTGCCATCAGCACATCTGCACCTCCTGTAATTAGTTATTCAAGTACTCCACGACCAATAATTGTTAGTAGCACGCCTTCTGTTCCTCTCAACCCAGTGCAATACGTAAATCCTGTATCAATAAATCACCCTGTTCAACCAGCATTTGGTTACTCTTACAAACGACCAATTAATCCAATTATACCTGTTTCTGTTAGTACCCCAGCTACACCAGTTGTGGACTATTCTTACCAACAATCAATTAAACCTGTAGTTCCGATTGCTGTCAGTTCACCAGCTCCGCCAGTAGTTAGCTATTCTACTACCCCACGACCAATAACTGTTAGTAGCACACCTAGAGTCCCCCTAAACCCAGTTCACTATGTAAATCCTATATCAATCAGTACTCCAGCTCCACCAGTATTTGGATATTCATACAATAAACCAATAAAATCTTTTGTACCTGTTTCAGTCAGTTCTCCATCGCCTCCTGTTGTAAGCTACTCTTATCAACAGCCAATCAAGCCTGCAGTTAATATAGCAGTCAGTACTCCAACCCCTCCTGTAATAAATTATTCTTATAGGCAACCAGTTAAACCAGTAGCAATTAGCACTCCTGCTCCACCAATAATTAGTTATTCCACAACACCACGACCAATTATTGTTAGCAGCACACCTACAGTTCCCTTAAATCCAGTTCAATATGTAAATCCTGTTTCAATTAGTAACCCAGTTCAAGCCACATTTGGGTATTCATACAACCGGCCCATAAAACCAATTGTACCTGTTTCTGTCAGTACTTCAGCTCCACATGTTGTAAGCTATAAACAGCCAATTGTGCCTATATCTGTCAGTGCTCCTTCTCAACCAGTATTTGAATATTCCTACAAACAATCAATAAAACCAGCAGTTTCTATTGCTGTCACCACACCTTCTCCTCAAGTAGTAAGATATTCTACTACTGTGCGACCAGTACAACCAATAGCTGTTAGTAGTACTCCAGTTGTTCCCTTAAATCCCGTGCAGTATGTAAATCCTGTATCAGTCAATACACCAGTTCAACCAGCATTTGGGTATTCTTACAGAAGACCAGTTAAACCAGTATCTGTAAGTACACCAGCTCCTCCAGTAGTCAGCTATTCATATCAACAACCAATTAAACCTGTCATTCCAGTTCGAGTCAATACACCAGCACCAGTTGTGAGCTATTCTTATCAACCACCAATAAAACCTGAAGTTCCAATTGCAGTCAGTACACCTGCACCTCCAGTAGTTAGCTACTCTACTACTCCACGGCCAATAATTGTTAGTAGTACACCTACTGTCCCCTTAAATCCAGTTCAGTATTTCAATCCTATTTCAGCTAATACTCCAGCTCCACTTAATTTTGGATATTCTTACAAACAACCAGCAAAACCACTGACATTCAATGTTCCAGTGAGCACTTATGCTCCTCCTTCAGTTTCTTATACATACAAACAGAAAATTCCTGTAAGTACTCCTGCTCCTGCTGCAGTTGAATATGCTTATCAACAACCCATCAAACCAGCATATTCACCAGAAATACATTATCAAACACCACTTAAACCCGTTGCTCCTCTTGTCAGTTATTCATATCAGAATCCAACTACCCCTGCACCAGTCGTATTTAGTACACCAGCAGCTTTCACAAGTCATCCCCTTCCTGTTCAAAATATAAAACAAGTTAATCTACCTGCCTCTCCCATAAATATTTATTCTTATAAACAACCTTCAGCTCCAACATCAGTGAATTCGCCTGTTTCTCCTTCAATTACTTATTCTCAACCAGCCCCATTCAGTACATCAGCACCAGCTCTCTTAAACTATTCTTATAATGTCAAAGATGTCCAATCCATTTCTGTAAGTAGTACTCCTACTGTCCCTCTAAATCCAATACAATATGTAAAACATGTAACTACCTCAACCCCAAATGTTTCTTATTCCTATAAGAGACCGCTCGAACAATCTGCTGTTAACAAGGCCACCAATATAGTATTCAGTTACACATTTGATTCTAAACCAGTAAGACCAGTCACTGTTTCAAGTACTCCAGCCATTCCTCTCAACCCTGTGCAATACTCCGTTACACCTGCCCCAGCTGTAACATATAGACCAGTTTCAACTTACAGCACATCAGTGCCTGTTATAAATTATTCGTACCAGCCTTCTATAAAATCAGTAACAAATCGACCATTGCAGCCAGCAGCAGTGACTACCCATGCTCCGGAAGTTAGCTATTCTTATCAAGAGGAACCTGATTACTTCTTAAAACTGAAAACTGTACGTCCTGTATCTGTGACTAGCACTCCAGTAGTTCCATTGAATCCAATTCAATATGTTAGCACAACACCACGACCAGTAATCAATTACCAATACCAAAATCCTGTTATAAAAACACATACCTCAGTCGTCGCTCCATCAGTTGATTATTATGATGAAGAAGTATTACATCAAGAAATTACCAAAATTCAACCTAAACCAGCTGTTGGTTCCTTTTATGAAGTGCCTGTCAGAACAACAACATTGGCTCCAATAACAGTTACCAGCACTCCTGTGGTCCCATTGAATCCAGTGAAATATGTGAAACATTCACAACCTGTATTCAGTTATACCTATAACCATGCACAACCTGGATCCTACAATACAAAAGGTTGTTGCTCAAGCCCTTCAGTCAAGGTTTCTTCTACTCCCAAACCTAGTGTTTTCAAATCCACAGCATATCCTTCAACTATTATTTCTACAAAGAGACCTGTTGTGGGTGCATACTTTGAGGAAAATTATGAAGCTAACAGACAAGAAGAAGGTTATGTTTACTCACGACCTAATATTAAGTTTGAGGAAACACCCTTAATCAAAGGTGTTTATAGCACACCTCCTCCCTATAACAATCCACCAAAGATCACTACTTCAACATACCTGCAAAGGCCAGTTCAGACTTATGCAAATACTGTAGAAGAAGAATCATATATTTCAAATACTCCAGAACATGTTACAACACTGGTTAAACAACCAATTTCAGTTGATACTAGTGATGAAGATCTTAACCTTCATTTAGACATTCCTAAAATTGGAGTAAATAGACCAGTTTATACAACTACCAGCACACCACAACAACAAATAGTGGAAGTCACTACAGTAACACCAGTTGTTAAGAGAGTACGAGTTAAAGGTGGGTTGACTAGAGGTGGATATTATGTCCGTAGACAAAAAGTGAAAGTGCAACCAGTTATAACCACAACCGAAAATTATCCCGCATATTTTACTTCAACCATTAAACCAATATATTCTTCAACAATTGATTTTTCATCACCAACTCTTTACAGCACAACAGTTAGGCCATCAACTGTATATACAACCTCTTCAACAACTTTGAAAGATGATGAACTTGAAGTTGAAGATGAAGATTATGATTCAAAACTCATTGAGCAAGTGTCAGGACAATTTGGTGAAATAATTAATGCTGGTAATCAAGGAATCATTCGTCAAGGATTTTCAACTACCACTGTTTCAAGCTTGAAAGATGGGGAAACTATAGTAGGAGTAGTTAAAAAAGAAAGGGTTGCAGGAGGAAGAAATAAAGCTAAAGTAGTTGTTGTTTCCAAATTAAGTGATTTTAATCCTTTGTTAGTCGGAAAACTTGGAGCGGAATGTAGCTGTAAGTCAAATTCAAAAACATTAAATCTCCAAAGGGGTAGTTCTGGAAATAGAGGACAACTCTTCTATCCTGAAGTGCAAAATGCTCGAGTGCCATCGCGAGAATACTTACCAACATCATCCGAGCCACCTAAAGTTAATGATTACTATCTGCCTGCAAGTGAAGTGCCGTTTGTCAATGCTAAACCAAGTACAACAATATCATCAAATAGCTATGATGATCAATCCTATGTAGAAATTAGACCTATCAATAAAGTTCAAAAGTTCTATACCTCCACTGGTCCATCAATTGATTCTATAAGAGCAGACTACGATACAACAACTAAGAGAAGTATAGGTATAAACAAAGTTGGAATTACTCTTGAAAAGACTTTAGAAAAGGGTGCATCATTTGATCGATATGGTCCAGGTGGTCTACGTGGAGCTGATGAAACTCTTCAAGGATCTGTTGACTGTCAACGAGCAGGTCTTTTCCGTCATCCAAAATACTGTAATAAGTTTTATGCTTGTAATTGGGATCAATGGAAAAAGAGATTTACATTACATGTGTTTAACTGTCCAATCCATCTTGCATACGATTCTCAATTGGGTGCCTGCAACTGGCCTTCCAAGGGTCCTGCTTGTGCAGATGATAATCTTTTGGTTTAAAACTAATTATGTTATAAAGCAAAATATTTATTCATTTTGAGCTAATTTCACATAGATAAACACTGGCATTTCATGATTATTTGTTATCAAATATTTTCAACATCAACTAAAAATTAATAGATTTTTTTTAAAAATGCTTTGTCTTTATCTTTGTGAATTTAGCTTAATTAGATTTCAAAAAAATGTGTCATATTTTAAAAGACAAATCAACAGTTTATTTAAATTATTTGTCTTAATATAAGAATGTTACCTATTTATAAAATTAATTGCCTTATTTTTCATAATTTAAGAGTAAAACTGGCCTTATATTAACGGCCAATATGAAAATGATGTATGCATATTTATGCAGCCAATGATCATATTTATCATTGTTATAAATATTTAGGAAAACTATAGTTTTCTTGCCATGTCATTGCCATATGGTTCTTTTGAACCTGTATTTTTTTAACTTAAGAATTTAATTGTATTAAATACAAACATCCACTGAGCTTTATTGTACATATTAATTGTAGTGCTTATCATTTAGGTGTCAAAAAGTCTTAAAAAACTTGTCTATAATGTTTTATAAATTTGTAATAATGTATAAAAAGAATATACTATTAGTTCATAATGCATTTAATTATATTTCTATTCCCAACTTAACTCATTATTGTTATGGATCCTTTCTTTAAACTCTCCCAAAAGAAAATTAATTGAAGTACTGAATAAATTCACTAAAAAAAAGTATGTAATACATATGATTTAATATGATATGATGTAGGATGAAAAGTTGGAATAGACCAGGCCACAGGCGAATCTACCGGGGAGAAGGTGGCTTGCTAAAGCCCCCTCTCCTTCCCCGAAAAAATGGTAAAATGTAACCATGTTATATGGTAAAAAATATTAAAAAATAATCTCTTAAAGTATTATTGTTTGTGTAATTACATTTAATAGGACTTCAAGTACCACTTAAACACCATTTCATATAGGTAGTTAGTATCTTTTTTTTTCTAAAGTAATTATTGTTATATATATGAAAAAAAAAAAGCTTTTGGATTGAAGCCCTGCCCTCTCCCCCCTCCAAAAAAATTTAATCCTGGATCCGCTAATGGACCATGCAACATAGAGTTAGTAGGTATTATAACTTTTGAAAAGGGAGCAATGATTTAATTTCTTCATTTGTACATAGAAAGAGTTTTTTGAGGTTTTCGCTTAATATCTGTTTGTATGTAGGTTGTCCTGAAAATCTTTTCATACTTTTTCTAGTTTGTCTCAAATAACTCATAAACTATAAAATTACAGTAAAATCTTATATGTTAATAAATTAAAAGGATAAATTTTGTGTCTAATTAATACTATGGATAAGCAATTATACCAAGCTGTGAGAAAGATATGGGTCACTCCATTATTTCATATGATATAAGAGATTCAAATTCCAATAAAGAAAAACAGCAAACTTTTTTCTTTTCTTTTTTTCAAAATTTACTTCAAGACAAGAATTCTAATAATAATGGACAACATTTCTTCATAGAGATCAGTCTAAATAGTGGCATCTGATCATGATTGAAATGAAACCATGATGATGAGGAAAATAAATTACTAATCAGGAAAATAAATAGAAAATCACTAATTTAATCCATGATTAGTTTTATTATAAATTACAAAAGAATTATTGATGAGGAGAAAATCAATCAGTTGAGCTAAAATATATTAAGTAACATAAAATTTATGTGAGAGTGAAAAATAGTTTGTGAAGTCAAAAAATTGTTTGCCAAAGGTTTCACCCTAATAGTGTTTGAGTAATCACATAAAGGAGTGTTTCGACATTTTATAAACGATGGGATAAACAAATATATAAATGGTTATTTCACTATGCTTTCATTATTATTATTATTATTACAACTGCTGACTAACAATAATTCAACAAGTTCTATTTGATTTTATTTCATTTATTTATTTTTTCTTTGTGCACATGTAAACCATATAAAATAACAGAAATCTCAATTTGATAATGTATTTAAAATACCAAATAATAATAATTGTATTTATTTTGTATTTTAGAAATAAAATATAAATACATTTCATTTTTCTTGGCCCTGATGAAGGCCTGAACTTTGGGCCAAAAAGCGGCAAAAATAAATATACTTATTTATTTTTACTTTTTTTTTTTACTGATAACCACAACCATTATTTTCTTCAATTATTCACTACAATTCAGGGGTGCCCAGAAGGAGGATTTATGGCTAAAGTTGTGCCATCAAAATTTTTGAGGGGGGAATATTTTGACGAGTTTTCGAATTATTGAGGGAAGCAAATTTCGACGGAGGTATGAATTTTCGGAGTAAGAGACAAGGAGAAAAACATGGAACATGCCGCAGCTAGTGTAATTGTATATGATTTATGATTATTCTAATTCTACATAAGCTTGTTCTGTTTCTAGGAAAAGGTGAGCAATAAAATATCTTGGGAGGAGGGGTGGGGAATAGATTCTTGCGCCATCCCCCTTGGGGAGAATGGGTATGCCCTGCTACAATCAACCATCAATTCACAATTATAAATACATTTCATTGTATTTTCAAAAAAATAAAATACCGTTTAATGTAAAAAATACAGTACAATGTATTTTATACTTTAATTATTAAAATGTAAAATAAAGAAAATATATTTTATTTTGTATTATTGAATACTTTATTTGAAATGATGTCCAAGTTTGGAAGAGCCTGAACACTTTCAATGAATGTCTAAAGTCCACCTTACATGGTAAATATCGAATATATTGTCCCTCTGAGGGATATATTGTAACAATTATATTGACATTTGTACTATGTATAAAATGCTCAAGAATATTGCTTCAATGTTATTGATTCAATAATATTGACCGTGTAAGGTGGGCTTAACACTTGGAAATGTGAGTGAGACTATTACTTTAAATTTATCTGTCATATTTTATCTTAAGTAATTATTTAAATAACAAGCATTGAATGGATAAAAATTATTAGATATTTATCACTTTATATATATACATATATAAATAAAATAAACCAAGAAATGAAGAGCTAAATATTTAACATGCATAAATGTGCTTGAAAATATTTTTTTTTTTTCTGCTGAGTAATCCAAGAAATATATTTTCTTCAGGGTATGAAATGAGCATGTCACATATTTATAAAACAATTTATATTTTTTGTACAGTTTTAACAATAAATAAATATTTTTTAAATGTAAAACAAATAGTATATATGCCTACTTCTAAGGAAGTTAGCTTTACTAATAAGAAAACAGTTCCGTTTCTTTAAAATATTACATTAAATAATGTATGATTTTACAACTATATTTACATTTTTATTTTCTCTAGCATGGAAAACTACAATTTATCATGTAAACCATATTGAACTAAAGGTATATTTTTATATTTACAGTTCCTTCAGTATAGTAATTTAAAATTTCACGTACTACACATACTCATGTATGTATTTATAATGTATATATTTATAATGTATTGTACATCTTCATATTTACAATATTTTGTCATTTTCAGGCTTAGACTCCATTTTCTTTTTCATTTTCTTTTCCATCAATAATTACTTTATCATCTGAAACAAATAGTAATATTTGTATAAAATCTTTTGAAAGGTAATTAAATTCCCTACAAAACAAAAAAAAAAGTTCACCAGAATTGGATTCTATTTTCTACATATTTTTTATTATTTTTCTCCTGCTACTTTGTAAGAAAAGTATTGTGATTTTTCAAAAGATTATAAAATTTCTGACATATCTAAAAAAAATCGTGTAAATTGGACCTGCTTCAGCAAAGTTACAGTGTATTAAAATTTACACGCTAATTTCAATTATGGATTATATACTTATTACATTGCTTTAGTGTTTTAAAGAAATTGTATGAAAATTGATCTTATTCACTTTTTTATGGATATACTTAAAGTTGTATAAATTTACCTAAAATCTTTAGGAAAGTTGTTTGCTATACCAGATTTTTTGTTATTCCCGTTACTACTATTTATTTAATAGCTTATACCCCCTTACAAAATATGTATATTAAAAGTTCATGGATAGGTTAGCTGGAGTGGAATACAATGGGGAATCAGTCCCATAGGGCTCCAAAATAGAATTAGAAAAATTGAATGATTTCATAAAAAAAAAATAATAAAAAAAAAAAGATTTTTTTAATCACAACGTTATGGGTTTATTTTCATTTCTTAGTTCATGCTAAAAATATGCCTCAGCTTTAAAATTAAAGTTACTAGCATGTCTAAAAAGAATTTAGGTTCAGAGTTCAAAAATTTAAACCCATAGATTTAATATCTTTTCAAAATTTCAAATAAATGAACTTCCTTTATCTGTGATTTTGCATAAAAGAAATTGTCAAATTGAAAATTAATCATATTAAGTGAATAAATGGAAGGATAAATTATATAAATAACTGAACTAATGATAAACAACAATATTAATTGGGTTTTGAACAGGTCTTTTAACATTGGTTTATTATTTTTATCTGAACAAACTATGATTATTCTTATGTTTTTTTAGATAAATTTATATAGGTGAATTTTTAGTAATCATTAAAATGAATAAAACAGTAATTAATGTATATAATTGCAAATAAAGGTAGTTTTATATCTATTTTTTCTAATATGGATCTTGATCTATTTCATTTGGGATGGTAATGAAATATGGTATTGCTTACTGTTAGCATTCCAAGCTATTGTTTCTTCTTTGGTTGTGTTCAATGGATCATTCCATGGCTGAACTTCACCTGAGCCAAATATTATGTAGACAATATTTGTAAGAATGATTACTGAGAAAGAAATCCAAAATACCAGTCTCCATTCAAGAAGTGTTGACTGAAATCAAAGAGGAAATCCTTAATTCATAGCTAACTAATAAAACAGTCTTTGTTTTTATTTCTTTAATATTAGATTAGTAAACTGTCACAGTGAAGTAAGTAATTTTAACATTTGAAGCTATAACAAATAATTTTACATTCTGATTACAATATTTATTCCTATGACATTAGTTATTCTATAAATAAAATAAAAATTTGTTTTTGGAAGATCAATGTTAACCATTATTGAGATAATACTGAGATGAATAATAGTAAAGAATTTCTGATAATCAGACGTTTATACTCCAATAAGATTGTTGCAGTTAAAAATAATTAACTAAGTTCATTGACTACTGTAGTTTTACTAAATAATACACCCTCGGCATATTGCAAAAAGTCACTAACTCTCCTTTTGATAGAGCTGCACTTAAAAGTATCTTTTTTTTAATTTTGATCTGATTTATTGATGAAAATTATGTATTATTTGCTTCAAATTAACACAGACTCTTATTATATGAATAGCTTGTTGCAAAAGTGATGGAAGTCAAAATCTGAAGTTTTGAAATATTAATATATAAGGGGAAATTTTATGAAGATAGATATAGAAAAATAATATGTATTTCAAAGTAAGGAATGACGGATTATTTTCTCCATTAAAAATAGCCAGTCTCAAGCATATCCAACTATTTAAGAGGATGAAGTAAATACATTCAATAATTAATTAATTAAATTTCATAAAAATGACACCACTTTTCCATGCAACATGTATCAACTATGGTTACACTAAGTATACAATGTTCTGATTTCACAGAGAAAAAATTCATCATAGTACTTAGTGATTTGATTTTATAAAATGTTACTTAATGCATTTATACAATAAACCACCAATATCATTAATGCTATGAATTTGTTTTGTTTTTTATGATTAACATGGATTAAAAATCAGTTTAAATTATATTTTAAATGACATATTTCATGGTTAAAAGTATGTTTCAAAGAATTGTTAAATATAAAAGCACACTAATTATTGTAAACCAAAAAGTAAACTCAATTGTATGTTTACTCACATTAGGCGTAAGATATCCTATAAGTGCTGGTGTGATTATGCCAGAAATCGCTCCAATTCCATTGACTATAGCCATTAAGGTTCCAGCATAGTTAGGGCTAAGGTCAAGCGCATTCACTTTAAGACTAGGATAGAAAAATCCCATGAAGGCCATACCAACAGTAAACAGTGTGGCCACAGCAATTTTGTCACAACCAGCATAAGATGCTGCTATGACTCCAAGACCAGGTCCAACAGATGCTATAATATAATTAATAATTTAAAAGCAGAAATTAATAATTGAAATCTCAAATCAACTTTAACACATTCAGTATGGAAGAACTTCAGGTGAGGTCCTGCCTTTCACCAGCGGTGGTTCATCCTAACATGAGGTCCATACTACTTGGTTTCCCCTATTCACTTTATAGTTCCCTTTAGTGCAGGAATCGTCTGTTTCTAGTTCAGTTAACAACATTTGATGTCAGTCGAATTATACTTTTCAAAGATTGTCCTTACATTGCCTAACCTGTTCTTTCCTTTTTTTTTGTTTTTATTTTTGCAAATTTCATCTTGTATTTTTTAATATTTTCCTTAAAGATAAGACAATGTCCTACAAAGAACACTATCATGTTTCTTTTTTTAAACAAATAACTAAACTGAAACTTTTTTTTAAGAAGTCAAATGGGATTAAACAAGCTTAGAGAATGCTCTAAAGGAATTTTTAAGTATTGGTAAGTATTAAATTATTTACAGTCCTTTAAAATCTTGAATTTGGTAAAACAGTCACTTTTTTTTATACATCCTATTATTAGACAAGCCATGGACAAATGGACTTCCTTGTTCCTTTATTTAATTATTTTTTGTAATAAGCAAGACATAGTTTTGTGTATTCACTATATTTATTTATTTTTTTAATGTTTAAATAGTTCAGTTCAGTTTTACATTATTTTATTTTCATTTCTTTAGTTTCTCAGATAAATTGGTTGCTTTGTTACATTATGTCTTTATTTTGCATTTCATTAGTCATGTAACAATATTTTGTTTTCATGACATTAATGTTATGAATAATATGAAACAGTGAATAGATTTTTTTTTTCCTGTCCCATAATTACTTATTCAAAAGGTTACAAAAAGTAGAAATTTATTTTGCAGTGGGCCCACAGAATGAATTATAACCTTTCCATGATGGTTAGACAAGGTTCAGTTCTATCTCTAGAGAAACCATTCTAGATGAAAGAAATGGTGAGAAAGAGGTTAAACGAAAAGAAAAAAAAAGGTGAGGACCTCATGCAAATCATTGAAGTTAATTTTTTCCCCAACAACATTTAAGGCATGAAATATAAAGAAAACACATGCACTTGGACTTTTCATTAAATGTTTTTTTTTTTCATTTCGTTGGCCCAAGAATTCCATTGAAGTCCTATACTAAATCATGTCTGATAATGTTAATCTCTCTCTCTCTCTCTCTCTCTCTCTATATATATATATATATATATATATATATATATATATATATATATATATATATATATATATATAATTAAACAAACATACCTATTGTTGTGAATATTTTTCTAGCTGCAGTGACTGAAAGACACTTTCTTATTAACAAAAAGTCAGAAAGCCAACCTGCTCCCATAGCTGTGAACCACATGACCAAAAATGGAAGAGCACTTAAAAATCCATTCTGAAATAGAAAATAGATTTTTCACTTTCTTTTATTCATAGTTATAGTACATGAGGATAATTTGTTAATATTTACCTGTGCTATTGAGAAGTGCATCACACTTTTCATATATTTAGGAAGATCCGTCTGGATTGTAAAGAGACCCCAGTCATGACCGATCTGTCCAATCACCAGAGACCAAAGAGGAAGTGACAAGGCCATTTTCCCCCAAGGGGTTGGAGCCAAATTCTAACAGAAATAAAATAAGGTTATTAATTAATAGGATGGTCAAATAATACTGTTCGGCTTGCTTAATATTTTTATTTTAATTCCATATATAATCTTATTTATTTTTTTTGTGATTGAATCAAAGATCAAATTGTGAGAGGACCTAACTCCTCAAGAGTTGTAGTGCCAGGAAATATTTTTAACACAATCAAGTTCCGTCTTATGCTCCCCAATAAGATTGTTTCAGAATACTAATACTCCCAAAGACCAACAGATAGCAAAATATTGATTAAAAAATAATAATCAACGGCAAAAGTATACATTAGTTTAAGCTATTGATTGCTTTGAGATTTGAAACCACTTTTGAAGAAATGTAGGTGATGTGATTTATTTTGTTAGAAAAACCTTAAAATTAAAATTAATTCATAATAGAATGAAGTGGCAACTTTTCTGCCTTATAAGCCTATTAGTTTCTATCTATATAAGATCTGCATATTGTCACCATTTAAGTGACGAGTGGATGAAACAAAAAATAAAGATAAGTAATAGAAAAAATTAAACTGTTCAACTATTTGGTGATACTTTTGAGTGAGGTAAGGTGCCTGCAAAAATGCACTCAATGTCTTTTTGCTTTGTTTTTTATCGAAATCAAAAAGTTATGAGTTAAATTTCCACTTGTGGAATTCTATAACAAAAGATAAATATTCCTAATTAACAATAAATAAATTAAGAATAAAAATAATTGCAAGCTCTACCCGAGTACTTACAACACTATGGTAAGGATTCGATTTTTGTATGGAAATGCTAATGTTCCCACCTAGAGATTCGCAGGGATGTAGGTAACTAACCCCTGTGACTTATAACATAGCTCATGGTCCACCAGGTTTGGAGTTGAGCATAGGGTTACTTAACTGAAGCCTCCTAAAATCGGACTGTCTAAACATGGCACAATATAATGACCAATATACTACTTAATCGGACATATCCATATTACAAAAATATAATAAATGGCCGCCAAGCTGGATTCAGAAGAGGGAGGAGCATTCTAGACCAGATCTTCATCTTGTTATTTCATTTGAAATTAATTACAAATGCGATATTTTAAAATTTAATGGTTACAAATGTTTTTTCATTTGTATTTACAATTTGACTTAATAAATTTAAATAGCAAACCTCTCTTCTTTTCACACATCCAAGTGTTTCTTGTAAATATTCTCTTTCTTCTGTTGTTATGAAAGGATGTGATGCTGGATCAGAGTAGCACAAGAAGCACCAGGCTACATACCAGATAACACCAAGAATTCCAAATAGATAAAACACATCTGGCCAATCTCCTTCCCAATACTTCAATAATATTCCAGTCAATGAACTTGATACTACTGTTCCAATCTGATTCCCTGAATAATACAAAACAAATAGATTAATTTTAATGAAATAAATTTTCAAATAAACTTGAAATTAAAGTTAGTAATAATTCTGTGTAAAATATAAAAAGAACTTTCATTAATTGGCGTAAAATATAACTATGAGCATGGCTTTGATGGTACTTGATTAAGTTCAAAAACTATCATAATTTAATTATATGAACCTGTCTATTAAATTTTCAATAAAAAATCAAGTCAGGTTATATATATAATAACTATAACAGTAAAAAAGATTTCAATGTTATCCACCACATCAGCCAGGGTTTGAAATCTATAATTATTTTTCCACCGTGTAAATCGTGTAATAATTATTATATTTGATTATTAATTTAAAAATCATGTCTGATTTATAAATAAAAATTTAAATAAAACTTTGATGTTTATTTATTCAATTAAAAATAATGATCACTCACTCAGTGATAGGGAATTACATAAATAATAATGATTAAATTGAGATAAAAAAACTATTGATCAGAAAATAAAAATCATCTTTTATACACAAATTAATATGTATTTGTACTTTATGTACTTTATTAATGCACAATTTTTTAATATTATATTTCTGAAACCATTTTAATTGTGCATGGGGTACCTGCTATGCAGGTTACTTTTGAGAGGGTGTTTTCATCAGAGAAGTACTCCTTTAGCAACATACCTTCCTGGTTGACCTCGGAGCACTTGGAAAAAATTCTTATTTTAAAACTAAACTCTTCCAGCTCCATGTAGTGAGACAGTTTTTATTTATGCATACATATACAAATATTCAAATTTCTGATTTAAATAAGTATTACTAAAAAATTATTATTATTGTTAATTGTCAAAATTTTGTTCAAAAATAATGATCTGGATATGATTTTTATCCCTAATGATCAAAAAAATTTCAGATAACAAATTTTATCGGATTTTATTTTTGTTTTTCTAATTATCGATTTCAAACACTGATATTAATAAAATATAGATATCATGTAGACATGACATATGTTTTATAAAGGCATCTCATTCTAATTTCCCAATATGGATCACATGTCATGATAAATGGCTAACACTTCTTAGACAATCTATTTTCTAATATTTAAACACTTGATTTATTTTAACTATTTAACTTAATTGGTCAATGTTTCAAAGTTTATAGTTTATCTTCATGACCCATTAATTGTTACCTAAGAATATATTTTCTTTTTTGTTGATCTTTTTGGCTTTAAGACTTGTTAAAGCAAGTCCTATTTTGCCAAACAGGAGTTGCTTAATAGGACTTATAGAATAGTTATATGCTATAAATTATACTAACCTGCAAATACGAGGGATCCAAGTTTTCCTCTTTCCATTGGAGGGACCCATTGAGCAAGAAGAGCATTGAGTGCAGGAAACGTAGTTCCCTATTATGACAATTTAAATAGCTATGTAGCAACAGGTTTGAAATATCAAATATTCATTAAATTAGTATCATAGATAGCTTAGGTGCCTGATCATATACTGGAAGAAAACCATATTTTTCCTATACCTAAAAAAAGCTTTAACTATGATCATAATGTGTTTAAATAGAGTGATCATAATGTAGTTTGGAGGTAAAAACCATTGAAATGTAACCATACCTAAATCAGGTTTATTCTACATGCGTGTATCTATAATATTACAAGAACGAAACAAATCATTTGTTAAATATAACAATTTTCTATCCCAAGACTCAATTTAATATAATAGCGATTCTTTCATAGTTAAAGCTTTGAGGTAATTTTGTTTACTCTATCCTCATTTTATTTTTATATTTACTTAATGACAAATTAAAATTTTCTTTTATTATGAATTAAAATTAAAGAACTTTCTAATGATCTAATGAACTTCTGTGATTGTTCTTATTGTTTTTCTGTTAAATTCTAACAGATATTTTAAAAAAATATGTCCTATTTTATGCCAACTACATAATATATTTTGTAATATTTTTTGTCTAGAATTTTAACATTTTTCGTTGTCATTACTTTTAGTTTGTAGCAACCAAATGTGGGTATTACAGCCCAAATAATTATTACAGCTTATCAATAAAGCTTTTTCTCTATAAGCTAAATATAGTATAATAGATAAATCTATAATATTACTATGAATTTTCATTTAGTTATTTTCTATTTGTTAAATATTTGGACTCTATTCTTCTAATTTATTTATTTTTTGCTAAATTATGTTTAATTATAGTTCAGAGTTTTAAATGAGTTTATCAATTATTTGTTGTTCATAAATTGCTGTTTTATTCCTAATCATTCCTTTCTGTTTCTCTTTTTAAATAGCTGGAGTAGTGATTTGTTAATAATATTAAATAAAACCTTCTAAATGAAAAAAATAATTTGAACATTTGGTGTATTTATTGAAATTATCATTAGTATTTTGCTAGGTTACTTAAAAAAAAAGAGAGAATTAATAAATACTTACTTCACCAAGTCCTTCTAAAAATCTAACTGCAATCATCCAGTTAGGTCCATGTCTTGCTGCCAGCGGTGTAAGGAGTGTTAATAATGCTGTGCTGAGTATCCCAAGCCCTAAAGTTTGTTTACCACCAAACCTGATTAAAAAAAAAAAATTGAATATTACAAGAAAAACAAGACTTATCTCATTAAAATATTCATATTTTTACAACTATTAATCTCAGTGGGACCTTGAGGTAATTTTTGAGAGTGGGATAGCTCAGTGGGTATGGCACTGACTTCCTAAGCTTAAGGTCCCGTGTTCAAATCCAACTGATGGCAAGTAATTATGTATTAGAAATCCAAATAGATAATATAACTATTGAAAAAAAAATCTACAAATAGTTGTACCGAGTTTCTTCTTAATTACAAATCAAATGACTTTGTCATTCATGTTTAATTAGAATCAATATTATTCGAAAGAATTATTACCTCTCAGCTAGTAAGCCTCCAGGTATGTGTGTTATCACATATCCCCAATAAAATGCAGATAAAATCAATCCTTGCGTTTTCTCATCCCAGTCAAACTCATTATCCTGAAAAAAAGAAAAGAAAAAGTGAGAATGACATTACTATCTTGAGTAATGGATTTAAGACAATGTTTATATTTTATTTTATAAAATCTTACAGGATTTGTGTGATTTCTTAAAATCAAGTCACCTCCTGGACAAGCATACTCATCATTAACGATATGATCTTTATGTTTTGGGACTACTACCATTTCTGTGATAGCAAGACTGAGACAAGAGCGCATTGAATATGCATTTGCAACAGCGAAAAAGCCCATCAGTCCGAGGACGTATCTTTGAGGGAGACATCCTATAAACATAATAATAATATATTTATAATTATTCCATCAGACAAAGTTTCAAATTATAAAACTAATCAATCTTTCACATCTTAATATCATTAATTGGATTCATACCATACACTATTTGCTGTATTTTTAATTTACTAACATAAACATGTAGTTTGTTAAACACAGATCGGCCTATGTAGGCTATTAAACATAAAATTGAATATTTTTCAACATCGTAAAAGGTCTACAAATATTAGGTGATTTTTAATTAATAATTTTCTACCAAAAAATGAGATTTCAATTGATTATCCTTTAATTATGATGAAGCAATTCTATGCTAAATCTACAACTACATTTAACTAGTAACTTTAAATGTAATTAGTAAATTGAATAATAAAGTTGATGAAGATTTTAGTCGGTGGGTGGCTGATTTCAATCAATTTTTTTTAGTGATTCAACAAAATATCGGATCCATGACCCAGCATTCATGTAAAAGGAACAGCGCCTCTAACCTTTCTTGTTGTACATTTCATCTTAAATTGTAATTATATAAATATATAGGTAATCATATATCAATCAATTTATCTATTTTTGGGGGGAGGAGAAGCAGAATAAGAAAGAAATATTGACTATAGTATTTAATGAGTTATTGTGTATCATAAATTACAAAAACCAAAAGACGCAGGTAGGTCGAGTAAATTTTTGTTATGGAAAAGCAAGTTGGATTTGTTTTTTACTGCCCTATAAAACTCTTAAATACGCATTTTAATTGAAAACAAAAAATATATATTATAGTGCTTGATTTTCTTGGAGGATTTTGGAGATTGGATTTTAAAATTTTTGGAGACAATATTTTCTCAACCATTAACAAAAGCATTCATAACTCCTAAGAATTTTTTCGAAATTTAACAATAATACAATAGTACGAAAGCTGAATTACTGCTCTTTCATACCACATCAATTACTTCTAAATTTTATTCCTTCATGAGCTAAAAATGAATCACACCTCAAATAAACCTTAAATACAAATGTTCACAGAAATCGAAAAACAAAAATTTGTTGTGCAAAATGTATGCATATGGTGGAAGGACCCTCTAATTATTTTATTTTTTTAAATTCTATAAAAATTGAGATTACTCCAAGATAACTCCATCTCATCCTTGTAAGTAAAAAAAGTAATGATTTTGCACAGGAGTGCCCAGAAGAGGATTTTATGGCACAAGTTGTGCCATCAAAATTTTTGAGGGGGCATAATATGACAGATTTTTTATTTTTTGAGGGGAGCATGTTTCATCAGGGTTATGAATTTTCAGAATGAAAAGTTTCAGAATAAAGGACAAGTGGAAAACATGGAACGGAGTGTAGTGTAATTGTGTATGACCTATGATTTTTCCAATCCTACTTTCCTTTGCTCTGTTTTTAAGAAAACGTGAGCAGTACAATATCTTGGGAGAGGAGTGGGCATTGGAAGGTAGATTCTGGCGCCATCGACCTTGTTAGGGATGGACACCTCTACTTTTTGTGTATTTGTGCCACTGGGTGTATCAATTTTTAACCTTATTTCTGATAGGCCAGCAGGCAAGAGGGAGGTTCAGTTTAGAGGACCATCTTGTTAGCCTGGGTACTATGTTTGAGCAGGAAGACTATAGTATATAATAAACTGGAGTAATAAACATCTTCATAAACATTTTAGATATTCATTTGAAAGATAATGAAATTGTTTTCAATGCTAAAACTTCAAAGTCAAAAAGAAATATTTATTTAAAAATAATAATAACAATGGCCATAAAATCTTAATTGAACCAACAACAAAAAAGACACAGCAAATAATTTGTCTATTGTACTATGCACCCAAATCTGTAAAGTAAGAATCTGTATTTCCATAGCACTGCAGGCAAAGATTCCAACAAAGCCCAACCTTCACAGTGAATCAGTGTTGTAGGTTATATTTTATTTTATCCTATTCCTATTAATACAAAAAAAAAAATGTTAAAAACAACATGTTCTTTATGAGTTTTTATCATGCGTTCAATTTTTATTTGTTTTTATTTTTTAGATTATATAGTAAAAAGTTCGGCCTTTGAAGGTTAGAAAACATCACGTCTTCAGCCATTTTATTCCGATTTATAAGAGTTAACGAGCAAAGGGTAAAGCAAATGCAAAAGAAAACAAACTACAGAACGAATCCTTATTGTTCCGCCAGTAAACCTTCAGAAGATCTAAGCCTTTTTTGTTTTATTTTCTTTCATTGTAACAATATCAGGCACGTTTTTCAATCTCCGTCATAACATTATGCTCTCTATTATTATTTTATAATTATTGGAAACTAAAAATGTGTTTACTTTCTTACCTATACTAGGTAAGGAAAGTATTGCGATCGGGTCAAATTTCCGATGTACGGTTTTCGACGGATCTGTACTATACGTTTCAGTGCGCCTCGAGAAAAAAAAAAATACATTTTTAGCCATTGGTATGTCTGTCTGTGCCAAGATTATCTCGTTAACTAGAAGACCGATTTTGTTGCTTCTTTTTATATTTTGTAGGGTTTTAAATGATGTTATATTAAGGAGTCTGTTATACTAACGAGAGTATATTGGCGTGAGAAACGCAATCACAAGCATTAATAGAATCAGTGATTAATTTTTATAAATCGACAAGATTGGATAATGTGAATACGGGTTATATTTTTAAGATTATTCAGGACTAGGATATTACTTGAAATACTGAAGATTATCGATTGAAGGCACAATACGGTTTGGATTATTTTAAAACATTTAGTTTCGTTTAAAATGTTGAAACATGGTCATTTAACCAATCAGCTTTCGTCCGAAATAAATTATTTACAGAAATTTATTGTTTTTATTTGTTGCTATTTAGTTTTTTTTTTTTTTTCAACGCTTGCAGAGGAAGAAGGTGCCTATTATATATTTAATACAAATAATAAAATAACACCAATAATAATTATTTTAGACACATTGTAATTTCTCTAACCATCGCACCCTGTTTATAAGAATATACTGAATTGGATAAAAAGTAAATTTCATAACTGACTTTTTTTATCTTTTAATGTCATCCTAGATCCACACGGTCAAAGCGAAATTATCTAATTGTGAAAAATCGATGACAAACGAAATACTCTAATTCAGTTTCAAGTTCAAAAAAGTTAAGACTAAAAAAAGTTTATATTAAATATTAAAGTTACAAACGCACATGAAAACTCGTCGAATATATTTTGAATGTCGCATGAGTCTTTCTAGCCTGATTTCTTGTTTTAGTGGCACATACTCGTGTAGTGAAGTGACGTTGCTACGTAAGTGAGGGTGGGAGGCAGGTAGAAGAATTTCATGATACTCTGTTGAATATTGATACAAATGCTTATTTCTTTATGCCTCAAATAAGTACTTCACCATTTGATATGAAACACATTTAAATCCACAAATTTAGTTAAAATAAAATAACTAATATTTTTAAATAAATAAAAACAAGATGTGAAAATATGTTGAGCTGCTGTGTGACTTGCCTAAAGCGTGCATAATATAGACATAAAAGGGCGATAAAGCAGAAATTCAGTAAACCTCAAAAATGTAAGTAGCTGTCACGAATTTCAAATAGAAGACATTGGCCCCAAACCAGGAAAAGGACAACTGTGCATTTTTGGAGTTCACCTCGACCGTGTCATCTGAACTATACCAAGGTTAGATGATCCTTCACATGTTCACCTAGGCTTTGCTAAGGTTATTGCTATATTTAGGTAAATTAAACGAATAAAAACAATATAAATAATTACTGAGCGAAATAAACTCCTAATAATTTAATTGTTTACTGCTCAAAACAAAAATTGGTTTTCTAGTTAACACCTTTTTGTTTGAATCGAATGAATGATCCCATAGGCAAATGACTTGATAGGGTACATTATTTAAAAACAAATGACTCAACATCCCTCTAAAAAGAATAGACCTAAAATAGGTATAATTTATCAATTTGGTAGTTTTATGCGTAGAAGTGTAAAGCTCTTCCAAATATGTTTACGAATTTTACGAAGCTTTTCCATTTTTACGAATACCCTGGCGAATACACCAAATTAGCTTTAAAAAAAATAGTTTTTTTCATCTCCCTACTCTTATATGACATGTGAATCCAAACTGTGTAACTTCATTAAAATTAGGTATGCCCTTGATTTACTGTCACAGTTATTTTCTTGATCTTAGCGATTATTGCATAAGTCGACAACTTTTTGCCTGTGGTCACTTGCACATGTTATACGTATGTGAACACATACAAGTTTGCGGTTTTTGCAAATGATTGTGAAATGCATGGAGAAATATTTGCGGCAGAAATATTTAATGGAACGATTGCATTTATCTTATGCGCATTCCAAGAAGGAAAAAAGCGTGTACATTTTACTATATCATTTCTTTCTAGCTATAAATTTAAAATATTTTAAAAATTGGAAAAAAAGAAGAATATGGGATAAGCTATAATATACTGATGACTTTTTAATGACGTTTTAAAATTGTCCCTTCTGCAATCATTTAAAAATGGTAAAAATAAATCAGAATGATTTATTCAATTTTTAAAAATATATAATCAAACCCTAAAATATGGTTTATTAGATATAAATACATTGTGATGTCAAAAGGGTCTCATTATAAATTAATGCATTTCTATTAAAATTATAATAATCAGGAGTACTAAGGGGTAGAACAGAAGGATGGGGAGTGTAAATTAATCGTCCTTGGGAAGCTGTAATTACCAAGAAGATAGGAATGCTTTGCCTTCTCCGAAGATCCTGATTCGTCAGTTACAGCAGAGCAATAGATAATTTTATTTTTCCACAAAAACACAGAAAATATCTGTTTTATGATTTATAATATTTAAATTGGACATACGACCTCTGTTAAAAATGCATCATTTCTATGTTTTAAGATTACTTCCAACTTATTTTTTTTAATTTTTGATTATTTACAGCTTTAATAATTAATGTTTATAGAATTAAAAGTTTTGCTAAATTAATTATTTA